GGAGCTGGACGACACCGCCAGAGCCCAGATCCTTTCCAGGCCTTTCGCCGCACTTGGAGAAGGCTGACGCGGGCACTATGGGAGCTGTAGTCCCGGCCGTAGCGCGGGGCGCGGCGGGAGCTGTAGTCCCGGATTGAGGGGCGCGGCGGGAGCTGTAGTCCCGGGTGGCGGCGGGGGCGGCCCGCGGGGCAAAGAAGTCGTCGTCGGCGCCGCAGCGGCCATGGGGCAGCACGGACCCCCGGGGCGGGAGGCCCCCGCCGTCCCCGGCAGCGGCAAAGCCCCGGCTCCCAAGGGACCGTCGAGACAGACCCACTTTTGTCCGCGGCCTGGCGTAATCTCCGCGGCCGGCAGCCAGAAGCGCCGGGCTGGGGCGGGCCGGCGGCGCAGCAGCCAAATCCCAGTCAGGTGAGGAGCTCAGTCGGCAGCTTTTCGCCCGCTGTCTGGGCTGTAGCTGTGGGGAAGCAGCGAGCGAGTGGTGCGGCGGTGAGCTGTCGGGAGGTATGACACCGAAGCACAAGGTAATCGCCCTGCCGTTTTCTTTAGTAGCTGAAAGCTGCAGCTAGCGGGTGACTAACGGGGTATGTTTTCTGCTCTGACTTAAATGAAGAAAGTGCATGGGCTGTGGTGTTGAGCGTGGGAAAGCTCTCTGTAGCTACTGTAAGGCTTTATGAAAGTTGGATGTTTCTGTCATAAAGAAGTGAACCATTGAGAAGAATCCCAATGGCTAGAGATGGAAGGCAAAAATCTGTGTGTTAATACAATAGTAACTTCATTTCTTTGGCACCTTTTATTCCTGTAGTGTAGTTTACTAAATTTTGCAAAGGAAATCAAATTCAGCCCATGCTAAGAATGGAGTACCAGCCCCTGCTGAGAGGGTCTAGCACACGCAGCAAGGTAAGCAGAACCGTCTTGGCCTCTGAAGATGGATCCCGCAGAGAGTTTGTAGCCTTAACAATGATGCACAAAGGTGAAATTCTCTGATTGTTTCATGTTTACTTTTAAATAAAAAGACATTAGATGATCAGGCTTGTAAAGTTTTGTGTTTTCCTTAGACGCCTAGCCATGTTATAAAATGGAAGCTGTAAAAGCACGTTTTCTCATCCCACCCCCTTGAATGTAAATTGAATTTTGTTTGGGGCATGTTTTTGAAATGAGGTGAAAGTGCTTATAAACTGTTGGGAGTTAAGTAGCTTACAGAACAGGTAAGGCTGTTGTCCATGCTCTAAGAAATCGGGCCCCAAACTTCAATGTGACACAACATGTTCGTGTAATGAGCAGACTGATTTGGGCAGGAAGAAGAACACAGCTGACATAACAAAACGTAAGTTATGTGATGTATGTTAATGATTCTGGGGTTTTGTTTGTTTGTTTGTTTTCTGTCTCTTCTAGATTCTAGGTTGTACCCATGAGGCACACAAAATACGTTGACAGTATTTGGTTAATAGAAAGGTCTGAGTGTGTAGTGCCTATATTTACCACCTATAGTTTTATTTTTTTTCTACTGTAGTCGCTGCAGCTCTTATTTATTACTCTTAATTCATTACTTCGGCTGTCATTCAGAGAAATGCTTTTTATTTGCAGGAAACCGTAAGGAGGTATGTCACGGTTTAACCCCAGCCAGCAACTAAGCACCATGCAGGCGCTCATTCACTTCCCCCCCACCCAGTGGGATGGGGGAGAAAATTGGGAAAAGAAGTAAAACTCGTGGGTTGAGATAAGAATGGTTTAATAGAACAGAAGAGAAGAAAATAATAATTATAATGATAACACTAATAAAATTACAATAGTAATAATAAAAGGATTAGAATATACAAGTGATGCACGATGCAGTTGCTCACCACCCACCGATCAATGCCCAGTTAGTCTGTAAGCGGCAATCCCCCTGCCCCCACTCCACCCAGTTTATATAGTACATGTGACGTCACATGGTATGGAATACCCTGTCGGCCAGTTTGGGTCAGCTGCCTTGGCTGTGTCCCCTCCCAACTTCTTGTACCCCTCCAGCTTTCTTGCTGGCTGGGCATCAGAAGCTGAAAAATCGTTGACTTTAGACTAAATATTACTTAGCAACAACTGAAAACATCAGTGTTATCAACATTCTTTTCATACCTAACTCAAAAACATAGCACTGTACTAGTTACTAGGAAGAAAATTAACTCTATCCCAGCTGAAACCAGGACAAGGTATCGACTGGATTTTACTTTAATAAGATCAGTTTCAATTTCTTCTGAATTTCAGTCCTGAATGAAGGAAGTTTTGATGGATTATCTTCAGGAGAGACACAGCTCTTTCAGAATACAGTATAGCATCTGGAATAACTCAACATTACTGGGAACTGGACCAAGAATGAGAATGAGGACGAACTAGTCTACATACCTTATAATGAGAAATTCAGGGAGCACAAGCTTATAAAAACAAATTATGTATAGTCTTTATGAAGGAAGAGGAAATTGATCACAGAAGTGCCTTTAATATAGGAGACATTGTTGTGGCTAGCTGAAGTTAGATAAAAAGATAATATGAGATGAAATTAGGACTTAATTTTTGATGAAAGGGTTGCTAAACATTTGAACTGGATGTTATTTTTAGTACTATAGTATTCAATAAAAAGTAGAGTCAAGAAGCATCACATCAGAAAGCCAGACAATGTATAAACCTCTAGAGATCTTTTCTGACACAGAGGCCTCATCCAAAGTATAATGTTTTATGACGAATTAGACTCTCTTGAGATTAGAATGTAACACAGTAGTGGTTTCTGTTGACCTTAAAACCTATGAGTCTGTGAATCTATTAATTTCATTTCCTAAATACTGATTTAGGAATGTAACTAGGTAATCAATATTGAAAAATTAAAAAATACATGCTAATAAACTTTAGATTGAATAATATTATTGGTGAACAATATGTTGTGATTTAAGATACTAAGGTTTAGCATCTGCTAACTTGCAGACATCCAGTAATCAACTTAGGGACTTGCTGAGGGAAATAAAATACTGTTATTTCTCACATCTCAGTTGAAATGTGAGTCACAGCAATTGGGATTTGGTTGATTCTTGTACTGAGTCATTGTGCCTCTAACACCAAACATAAACAGTCCTAACATTCTTTCATAAGTAACAGACACCATGAGCAGCGTGGTTTGTGCAAAATGTGTTTACACTGTTCAGTAAATATGCTGTCAGCAGTGCAATGGTTGTGTTGCCTACACTTAATCTGTGTACTTGTAATTGTTGCATCTCTAAAAGACGTTAGTGATCATAGCCAAAGTCATCATGAAATGTTTCTCCTGTTGCAGGTGTTTGAGAGTTTATTTAGTTTTCTAAACAAATACTTTAACGGTTCAAAACTAAATACATGATATATTTCAGCATGATTTTCTCCTAGATATTATATGCATGTAGGTTCAAGGCCCTGTCTCTTTCATGCACGTTACTCTCTTCTGTTTTCTAGTTCCCCAGCTGGACCTTGTTTCTGGCTGTTTGTGCTGTTGGAATTGGAGGGACCTTTCAGTATGGGTATAATGTTTCCATTATCAATGCACCCACCCAGGTAAAATACTGTCTTGTACACAGGGTTGTTTTACAGTGGTGGAGGCATCCTGTCTTAACTGGCCGAGGGGCCAAATGCACTTTTACTGCGATCACAGCAGGAACCAAAGCAGGCTTCCTCTTGTATGAAGGATTCTTGTTGACTTTCAGAATGGTTTCGTGTGAATTTGTTTGTGAGTACCTCCCATCAGAGGTATTCTGTGTCAGATAAAAGTGCCAAATATGCCACATACATATCTCTGTTAAAGTCTGTTGTAGAAGGATTAACTGGATGAATAAGTAACATCCTCCAGTTACACCTTTGACTAAAATAGCCCAGAACATTAAGAATAGAATAGAAAGAATAGAATAGAACATAACAATTTCAGTTGGAAGGGACCTACAAGGATCATCTAGTCCAACTGCCTGACCACTTCATGGCTGACCAAAAGTTATAGCACGTTATTAAGGGCATTGTCCAAATGCCTCTTAAACACTGACAGGCGTGGGGCATTGACCACCTCTAGGAAGCCTGTCCCAGGGTTTGATCAACCTTACTGTAAAATGTCACCACTGTTTCTCCTGATGTCAAGTTTAAACCTCCCCTGACGCAGCTTTGAACCATTCCCATGTGTCCTATTGCTGGCTAATATGGAGAAAGGATAGTTATAGTTGTCTATCACAAGGCAGCTTACTGAGAAAGATCTTAGTCAAAAAGTTGCATCTGTAGTGTCTGAGTATCTTGTAGGTGTTTTCACCTACTTGTTACTTTTGCTTCCATTGCCATGGCCTTGAGGATTTTGCATATTTTGTGGATGACTCAAGAGCATCTGAGCAAATGGTCTTGTGAAAGTGATGGGTATAATTTTCTGCTGTCAGCTGATTTATTTTCTTGTGAAACTTTGAAGACTGAATTTGTTACCATATGGTATGCTTTTTACAAAGGTTAAAATAAGCTGTTTGTGAAAGAACATGTAATATGCTAGAAATGGAGAGTCCAGGAAGTTTGTTCTTCTGTTAGTCTTTGTTTGCTGGCCAAGAACAGAAGCCTCTGATTGCATATACATGTCAGTTCTAGAGTTTCTAAAGACAAATTTTAGGAAACCAAGCATGTAGAATAAGAGTTTAAAAGTTCTGACACATGAATACTGTAACAAGGGCGGAGGAATATTAGAGTTGCAGAAAGGGATTTTACTATGAATTGTTGGATTATGCTAAGGCAGGAAGATTTAAATCAAGTGTCAGAATGAGTCTTCTGACAGTAAAATTTTTTAGGTTATACAAGACCTCTGCGCTCTGAGATGTTCCTAAAAAACAGTAGGACCTACCTATCCACCCTGTCCTCCCCCTACATTCAGAAGGACCTCAGAGCTCTTTTGTAGCAGTATATGGAAAGGTTATGTTTCTCCTCTAGTGGAATACAGCCTCTCCTGAGGTAGACTACAAAATCAAAGCTGATGAGCAGTCTTTGAGATGTATGGAGAGTAGGAAATGGTATTATGGTCAAGGAAGATTCTGCTAGTCATGGTTGTTTTTAATATAATACAACTAAGATTATATTTTTTTGTTAGCTCCCAGAATTGGTTTTCAGGATTGAGGTGCAAGTTACTTATAGTGCTATGCTGTAGGGCTACATGTAATGCTACACATTCATTACTGTTTTCTACTGCAGCATATACACAAGTTCTTAAATGAAACCTGGACTAGTCGTTATCACAAGGAACTAAATCCAGAGTTGCTGACTTTTCTTTGGTCTGTCATTGCTTCTATATTTTCGCTTGGAGGCCTGTGTGGAGCCCTTATTGGAGGCAGCATGGCAATTCGGCTAGGCAGGTGAGTTACAGCAGCAGGCATGTAGCAGCACGTTTTCTTTTCCTACTTTCTCACTGGATTATAAAGTAAATAAATGGGAAAAGAGTGGGAGAAAATGTACCTTGGGTGACTGTGAATGTTTTTCACTTCAAAGCAGAGTTTTCTGGTAGAATTTTCCAGTTTGTTTGAATGTGACTTTAAAAGATGAGCCCTGAATTATAGCCTTCCAGTCTAGCCTTCCCATTACATTTACTGAAATCTAAGTGGGAGTATGCACATACTGTATGGTAGGAAACACAGGTCCCCCATACGCATTTGCAGCCTTCGTGCCAGTAACGACATGCTGTGTAATTCGTAACATTTCACGCGCATTCTGTATGGAAATAGCATAAATGAACAAAACCCTTCTCCTACCTTGTCAGGCATTTCTGTCATGTTTATGCATTATCCTTATGTTTGGACTTTTTTAAAATATGAGTAAATAGTTGTATCAGATATCTGGGTTTCCAGTGAGTAGCACATTTCTTCAGTATAAAGACCATTTTTTCCCCTATTACCAGAAAGGAAATCTTTTTAAAAAACATGTTATTGCAGATTTCCTTAATGTTTTGTTTTGGTTTTTTTTCCTCCTCTTCAGGAAAGGAGCTCTTTTGATGAATAATATTATAGCAATACTGGCCTCCATTTTAATGGGGATCAGTTTTCCTACAGGATTGTTTGAGTTACTGATTGCTGGAAGGTTTTTGATTGGCATAAATTCAGGTGAATGATTTCCTATTCCTACTTTCAATAAACTACGGTGAATGATAAATTATTGTTACTGATGATTCTGTAGCTATTATGATATGTGTTTGTAGGCTGCTTTGTGATGATATGATGACAAAAATGTTCTGTAGTCTAACTTGGAATCTGAAGGCAGCTAAATTAATAGGAGATAGTAGCTAGGTCCGATTTCCTACTTGTTTTGGTTCAGTAATTCTCTTCAAAGCAAGATCTATTAACAGGAAAATGTTATTCCATTTACTTGCAGGTATTGGGATCTGTGTGCAGCCTCTGTATCTTGGAGAGGTTGCCCCAAAACATCTTAGAGGTGGCATGGCCATGGGGAGTTCCATCTTTCTGACTGGAGGGATTCTGACAGGACAAATAATTGGTTTGAGGTTAGAAATGCATTTTTTTTCCTGCCTTGTGTTACTCGTACGTACAGAATTCCAATTCCCTGCAGCTCTCTGCAAAACATTCGTTGTGGCCATTGTAGCATTAGTGAATCAACTTCATATAGAAGGTCTACCTGTAAGAAGAAAACCCTGCTTTTGCCACCTTATTCCTACAACTGCAAACCATCTGTGCTATCTCCCCAGGGGAGTATTCTCAGTTTAGATGGGTTAGCCAGAACAGCATTAGTAAAATAGGTACATTTATGCTAAGTTCATATTTTCTGCCAGTTTCTTGTTGGAGACAGTTGTCATTCATAAGACAGGACTTGAGAGCAAAGGACTCATAACTTCTGTATTGTAGCACTACTGCTGGTTTTGTACCTTGTGAGATCAGATGAAGTTGCTAGGGACATTATCCAGTTGGAGCTTAAAAAGTTCCAAGAACAGAGCCTGCACAGCCTCAAGATGAAAAGCTGCTTTCATTAAGTCTGCTAGAAACTTTCCACTGCCCTAAGAGCAACTGCTAGTACCCTGAGTAACAGCACATTACCTGTTTTTTCTCTGTCCCTCTACCAAAAGCACTGAGACTTCTCTTTTTCCTTATTATTAGCTTCTGAATTAACTGATTTTGCTAGATACTTCAGGTGTGAAGTGCTACAAAGTAAGTAGAATATAAACTTCAGGCTGTATAATCTAGGGTCAGTATTTAAAATGCGATACACTTTGTATTTTAAGAAGTTTATATTGCCCACAACACATCATCCTGCTGATTCTAACTATACCAATTTTAATGATTCCTTTCTGTGTAATATACCTTCTCATTAGATAACTTTGAATGGGAGGTGGGATCAGGTGATTTTCTTGAGTTCCTTTCTATCGTAAATTATTCTATGATTCTCAAAAGCAGATACTGCTGCAGACCTTAAGGTGAAGTATGTATGCTTTTACTTTCCTGCATTGCTAGGAAATACTGCTTTGGCAAACCTGAAAATAATGCTTAGGACCAACACAGCAATAAGCAGCAGTAAAATAGTGTTGCTTATCTCTTCCTGAGTGAAACCTGATTTCAGAGTGACCGGAAAATATTTCCTAACCTCTTTCTGCTGAGGCTCACAAGATGTAGGTAACTGGTTACAAGGGAACTTTTCTCAAAGGACAAACATCTTGCTCCCAAAAGTCTTCTGAATAGTCACGAGTAGCTAATTACTTGGGGTTTTTTTCCTTCTTTTTCCACACGTCTCCCAGGGAATTACTAGGTGCAGAAACGTATTGGCCTCTGTTGCTATCCAGCAGCTGTTTCCCAGCATTTGCCCAACTTCTATTCCTGCCATGGTTTCCTGAAAGTCCCAGATATCTTCTTATTGACAGAGGTGATGAGCTGAGCTGTGCCAAAGGTAATTTACAGCATTTTCATACTTCCTCTGTGTCTTCAGAACGGTACAATGAATATATTGGGTTCCAGATTCTCCTTTTATCAACATGACATAGTTACATTGCCTAGTGCTTTTTGGCCCATGTTTTTACTCCGGTAAGCTTATATGGAAAAAGGGATTGTACAACTCAGGAGTCTATAATGAATTGTGAACAAAACTTTATTATCTTGTTTCAAATATATGTTCGTGTTTTGTTACTCTTTAGTGAAATCTCTAAAGATTTTATAATTTTTCTCATGGATGAAGTAACATACCTGAACTACATAACCTCTCACTGGATTATTCATTTCTCAGGTCATGTCACAGATTAAGTATCAGTTATATTGGATATTTTCTTCCATTCAGTGATACTGTTATACTTCTCCTGTAAGAAATAATAAAAAATAATATAATAAAATGGAGACAGCATAAGTAGCTGAAAAATTAGAGAGCTTTTTACTGAAAAAGAGGTGATATTAAAGAAGTGATTAATTGGCTATTTGACCAGGAAGCTCCTTATCCTCCATTTTCTAAATATTTAGTTATCTTTTAAATACCTTTTTTCCCCTGTTATATCATGTGGGAGAACTATGACAGCTTAAACTTTTCACTTTATCTTTCAGAGATCTATGATTGTTCTCCTTTTATTCAAGCCCTACTCAAGAAATAACTGTAATGGATAGCTGTGCAGTACTGCAGAAATGAGCAAGTGAAGCCCACACGCTACAAGAATTTGAAAGACAAAAATTCAGATTAGTTGTGATTTTCTTTATCCTGAAATTACACAGTTCTCTTTATATACTGCAAGAAGAAACTAAATATCACAAGAGATTTTTTTTCACCATAGCGTGCCAAAAGAAGACACTGAGGTAGCCATTTGTATCCTCATGTACAGTGGATGTGAGGTATTTTACTTCCCAGAGAGACTCAGTGGAATAATACTCCAAAGAGTAAAGTATTAGTCACTATAAGTAAGCAGGTCTGATTAATTCAGTTTGAAGGTCTGTTAAATAAATATGAAAAGACCCTCTCTAAAATAATAACCAATTAATAAAATTGAGAGGACAGAAAAAAAATTCAGAGATCCCAATGTACAAATCTGGACAATAAAATACTTGGTCACATATTTTTCAGAAATGTGTTCAGTGTTTCTACTTCTACCAGGTATGGTGATTCTGATATAGTTCACAGTGACATAAAATGACACTTGTGATCCCTGGATCTTCCATTTAAAATGCTAAATAAATGAGAGAAATGAACAAAGGAAGTTTTCCTTGTTACCGTTTGATAGCGTTGTATTTAATTCAGTTTTCATTGTATACATAAATAAAGGAAAACCATTTCTTCTTTTCTTTTCTTCTGTTACTTGTTTTGAAGTGCTGTTGATGAGCATATGAATTTGTATCTGTCTAGAAAAGGTATTCGTAGGTAGAACAGTATATCTTGTGGAAAGATCTTCATAAAAGAAGTTAAAGAGGCTTAATTCAGGGAAGCCTTTAGGCCAAGGTAAAATTTGTTAGGAATTACAAAAGAGGCAGGGTTCACAGAGAGAGGTGAAATCTTGTATTATACTGGGTAATTAAAAAACAGACAAAAAAGTTAAATTTTTAGATAAAGTCATCTGTACCTGCAGACCTGTCTCCTTTCCTCCTGCCAAGTTTTTCAGCTGATCTAATAAAAATACCTCTCTCTGCTTACCTCGCCCAAAAATGCTCATGGACCATCACAACTGCAAAAGCACAGTAACAACAATTGACTTATGGAGTTAATTCTGTCTAATTTGGAAGCCATGGACAAGATGACCATAATGTCCCTTTCAGATTATGATCTAGTTTGGGCTTCGTTAAATGTAATTTTTTAAATATAAATGAAGCTTGCAATCTCTGTACCATATTCAAGTCTTCCCTCTCAATTTTTTTTTTCTGAAATAACATAATCATGGATTGTTTTTTTTTTTTCCAAGAATTGTGGTTGCTCCTGAACTGACGCTGAAGAGTGGCTAGAGCTTCAAGCTGGTTACACTGTTAGTGATAACAATAGCATTGGAAAGTTTGCTTTCAGGATCATCAAAAGTTCTACTGTTGCCCTTAAGAAGACAAACTGTCACGATATATTTAACCTTGAAGATTTTAGAGGAACTGATGTTATGTACTCTAGGTTTTAGGACCATTAGTAAAGGTTTTAGTTTTGCATCCAACTGATTTCTGATAGTACTTGCCTTAGAAGAATTACTTACCATCATTACTCCAGCTCACTAAATGCATTCCACTGGCAAAATTAAAGATGGGGACCTAAGAAAAGACTTGATATCTGCCTAGAATTTAAGCAAAAGACTTCAAAGCGCTTCGAGTGTCCTTTAATGAAAAGACTATTTGGAGGTCTGTGGTTCAGATATAAACCACTTCAAAATATTTTGCTTGGTGAATATTTCAGAGTCAGATATTCCTCTAAAAAAAGCAAAGTAATGACACTCCAAATCTACCACAGCAAAAGATGTTGGAAAACCAGCAAGCAAAAAACAAGTCACAAAGCAAATTATTTTTTTCCCAGCTTTCTAAAGCACAAAGTTTTCATATCCTAGCCAAAGCAAGGTAATTATGGAAAGAGATGATTTTCCAGAAGTTGTGGTTAATAGGTAAACATAAGAGAATTTATTTTCTTCTTTTTTCTAGCTTTGAAACAATTTCATGGTTCTTCAGAGTATCGAAGGGAGATGGAAGACATACAGCAGGAATGTTTTGCCTTAGACGGGGAGAAACCCAAGAAGCCCTGGCAATTATTCACTGATCGTGGTGTGAGATGGCAGCTCATTACTGTGATTGTGATGACTATGGGCCAACAGCTCAGTGGGATAAATGCCGTAAGATTTCATACATACTAACAGCTTAAATAATTATTTAATTTCCATCTGTTTTTCAACCTTTTATTAACACAAAGGATCCAGATAGAGAAGCTTAGAGAAATGGGATCAGTGGCAAAGAGTATCTTTGTGTTATGTCTGTGTTTCTCTTTTTTTCAATTTTTTTTTCATTTGTGTGTTTCTGGTATGTAAATTTCTTTAAAGAATTCTTCTGAAAAAGTAAATAAAAGTGGATCAGCTTATCCCATTGTGTCTGGTTTAAGAATTTGAAGTATTATATTCAGTAAGTTGAATAATTATATTTGCTTTTATGATAGCAATATGTTTACCTAGACATGAATTTTAACAGATTCTTCTTGCTGTTTATGTGAAATTAATAACTCACAATAGAAAATAATTGAGCTGTATATTTAGTATGAACTTGACTTTGTTTCCAGCCAATGATTTAACTACTGGGAACACCCCTTTTTTTTTTGTTGTTGTTGTAGATTTATTTCTATGCAACTTACATTTTTGAACAAGCTGGGATCTCAGCAGAAAAAATCCCGTATGTGACACTTGGCACTGGAGCTTGTGAATGCCTCACAGCTCTCACCTGTGTAAGTAACAATTTATTCTATCTCCTAGCATAAAGAGTAACGATTCTTCTTCTTGAAGAACATTGGTAAATAGGAGATTAATATAGTAACAGAAAATGATGTCTTTTCCACAGGGTTTACTGATAGACTACGTGGGAAGAAGATACCTCATCATTGGGGGTTATCTCCTTATGACCCTTTGGAGCATTGTTTTAACATTCTCTCTGACTTACCAGGTGTAAAGAAAAACTCATTTATATTGCATGATATGACTATAGTGATTGAAAATCTGTGACACTCAAACACAGCTGGAAGATAAGAGCTACATAGGTTTAAACAGCAGCATAAAAAATGACAGCAATTGAAAGATTGGATCAATTCTGGAGCCATCTTTCCCTAAAATAAGAGAATGCTCTCAGCTAAGCTTTGATCATGTATTTGTCTTAAAGCTGTAGCTGCATTTAATGCTGACAAAACTAAGCAATGACAAAACTGCATTTATTGTAGCTTTTAAAGTAATTTTAGGATAAAATACTATATATCATATAGTGATGATATTAAGCATCAGAGTCCATTTCAGTCACTTAATTGTAAGCAAATGATCAAACAACAAATATTGTAAAGATGCTGAAATTCAAAAGACGCTTAAATCCATTAAGTGTAAATTCACAGAAACTGTTGGGAACTCACTAGACATATTCACAGTGCCTTAAGTTTATCATGCGAAGACAACATCCTGCCTTGCTTTTTGATGTGGTATGAAGAGATGCATCGTAAGTTGTTCTGTATACCGTATCAGCTCAAATAAGGCAACCCCACAAACCTCCTGAAATGAATGTTTAGAGGAAATGTATCTCCACATTTGCAGACCGTACTATACTAAATATTTATCATTACCTTCGGGTAATCCAAGCAAGATGATGCAGGTGTAGCTCCAACAGTGAGCAACTCAATTTAGTCAGTATTTGGTTGCCTGATAAATCCTTATTTGACAAAGGTAGGATTAAAGAGCTGCAATTCTTTCCTTATCCACACCGTCAGTGTTTGAAGCTGGCTTTAAATGGGTGGATCACATGCAGTCATGCTGCAGGTCTGATGTTTGGAGGGACAGTAGGGTTAGAGGCTGCACAGATTGGCAAGCAGACCACAGAAGAGGCACCTACAGTAATTTCTGTGTGGTTGGAATAAAGTAAGCTGCTAGGCCAGGCAAAAAGTTGAATGAGCCAGCCATTAGGCAGAGACCTAGGTTTAATTATTTTATTGTAACTTCTGTAAATTTCTTGGTTTGCTTTTGAATAATGGGATTTCAAGCTTAGGTTTGGTCTTTCTAACATACCTGGTTTCATATGTATAGTAATCATGTTTCTTTACTGCACTACTGAAATTTATGTATACGTAATAATGTGATGAGAAGTCTGTTCATGCTATGGAGGTACTTGATGACAGATAACTCATGGGATCAGCATAAAATACCAAAATAAACACTGACAAAATGTTAAACTAGTAACAACATATAATTGTCATGTTCAATATTGGTGTAAATTTTTAGCCTCTGAGGACTAATGATAAATCTCAACAGAAGCACTAGACTCCATGTAGTAAAAATTATTAAATGAACAATATTTAATTTCTCCGACGCAGTACTGTTAAATAAATTAGCTGTAAACAGCCATGACTGACTGTTCGTTGTAGTTGCAATAAAATAGCAAAAGGAAATGTAACTGTTAAGCTAAACTTTAAAACTTGATTGTGAAAATCTGAACTAAACCTTCTCATTCTCTTCTGTTCCAGGAACTGTACTCATGGGTGCCTTATGTGAGCATGACATCTATATTTGCCTTCATCTTGAGTTTTGGGTTGGGACCAGGTATTACAGAGTGATGAATGTTTTAAAATGGTGAATGCGTGTCTGGGGCTGGGGCGGGGACATCAGCAGCTCTGCTGTGTAAGCCAGGCGGTAAGTATTTACTGTATGGCTGCTGAGGCTCTGGCTAAGGAACACAAGTGAGCCCGTCTCATCAGAACAGTTTAGTCTCCCATAGCCTGAAACTGAGGCTCACCATGCATGTTTCTTTGGGCCAGCTATGCGTGGCAGGGGTCTTAGTTCTGGCCTTCAGGTCAGTTGAGTCATACAAGAAGCAAGAAAAAGCCTGTTACGCTTTTAAAGGGGCCCTTGCTCCCTGAGCAGTGCTGCTGAAATAAGGCCACTTTACTACATGGGCAGTAGATTAAAAAATGTGCTGTTAATAATAATTTTTTTTTTAAATAGAATCAGATCAGCTACTGGCATATTCAAAAGCAATAGTTTTTCTGGCATTGGAAATACTGCAAATGGACAGTTAGCATAATAACCTATTCTGTTTCTGAAACTCATTCCCCCAGGTGGCATAACAAATACCCTGACAGCTGAATTATTTATACAGTCTTCACGTCCTGCTGCCTACATGATAGGAGGGACTATTAGTTGGATTAGTTTCTTCACAATTGGAATGCTCTTTCCCTTTATAGTGGTAAGTATGCATAACACATTTTCATAATTGCATCACCTCCCATTTAATCTTAGGTTCCATCAACTTGCTTTTTCTTATACAGTAACACTTAAACACAACCAAGTATAACTAGATTCAGTCCCTCTTAAAATGTTTTTTTAGATAACAACAAAAAATAATAAAACATGATAAATGCAAATTAAAAGGAATGCATGGGGTTAATTTTCATGTTCAGATTTAAAAAATGGAGAAGGTATCAAAACTAGAGAAACTTAAGCAGATACTGAGATTCAAAAAACACATTTCTTAATAGCGCCTTGCACTTTTATATCAAAGTAAAGTAGAAGTAGTACCTGGCGCTAGTGGTTCACACCTTCTCCAAGAGTTCACTAAATTTACATACAGAGGGTTCTGTGATCAGGAAGATTTTTAGAAAAAACAATACAGGCTTTAATTTCTGGCTTTGTATTTTCAGTTTTAGCACTTTTGAGAGCAAAACATGCAGGAACAGCATGCAGCAGGCTATCTTGCTTTGACAGTCCTCTGCTTCTCTTAAAAAAAAAAAATTTTTTTAATCTATAGCATTGAAAAGTATTAACAAACATCCAGAGAAAGATAAACCACATAATCTTGAAGTATGAGGCAGCTAAGTAGCAAGTGCTGACTTTTCATTACATTGTGACTTGTTCAGTGTGTGTTTAAAAGGTTTATCTTTTTTCTTTTTTTTTTTTTTTAATAAAAAGACTACCAAGTGTATTGCACAGCATTTGGTAGTCTTTTATCTAGAAAAAAAAAAAATTAAAAAGTTCCATGTAAAGTAAGGATAGGTTAAACGTCTTTTTATTAAAAATATCTGAGCAGCAATGTTAGGTATGAATGGAACCAAGAAGCTTTTTATTTTCCAAAACCCGCTGTTATACTTGAAATATGTTGCAATGAAATAAATTTTATTTTCAGAATGGACTGAAGCAGTATTGTTTTCTGGTGTTCTTATTGGAGTGCTCCTTAGTTGCTGCTTTCATCTTCCTCGTAATTCCCGAGACAAAAAACAAATCTTTTCTGGAAATCAAAAAGGAATTTCACAAGCTTAATTTTGGAAGAAATACCAAAAAAAAGGAAACAGCGCTTTATGAAAGAAGACAACTCCATGATGAATTTTAAAATTTGCATAATTTCACAGCTGTTACAGAACTTTAATAAGAATTACAAACAGCATCTTCTAAATTAGCAGTGTAATACCATGAACAAGTAGCTTATTAAATCCTCCTGTATATTTGGAGGAAGTTTAAACGCAGGTTAATCTTGCTGAAATGCTGTTAAAACATATATTGCTGAAATGCTATTAACAACATATTATATTATACATAGGAGATGATGTTTAACTACAACTTGATGTTGTAGGGACACACAAATGCCAGGAGAGGGTGTTCAGCGAATTCCTCCCCCGCAGCAGATTTCTTCAGATAATTCAGTAGCTTTTCTTATATTTCTAAGCCCCTTCTTCAGATTCAGGTAATCAAGCATATGTTAATGCTTTACGGAATAAAATATTTGAGGCATTAAAATCCAAACAAGAACTGACCTGCTGAGAAAATGATATTTGAAATATTCTAGTTCATATATAAATTGGGGTATTTAGTTGCTGGTTTTCACTTAAGTAACTTCTTTGAAAGATTTAAGGACATTCCTCATCTAGTCCTACTACTATAACTGGTCAAAGACAGGAGAGCACCTATCTGAATTACTGTTATACCTATCTGAATTACTGTTATTTGTAATAAAGTGTATTAGAAAGACTTGTTTCCAGCACTAATAAAAGAGTTTCTGGAGTCTGAGTTTATTTTTTTGCCCTAACCTAGCATCTTAACATTTTAAACTGTCCAACAGGGTAAAACCTCCTCTAGTTTTGGAGGTCAGTTCTTGGCAGATTGAGATCAACATCACAAAAAGTACTAAATAGCAGAAAGGACAGATGACAGCAATTAAATACTTTTCACCTGTAAAGACTTTTCAAGATGGTCTGATAGAACACATATAAGGAGACTAGAGAGGGCTTGAAGGACCTATTGAATGAGCTTTCTGCTTAATCTCCAACATTTCATCCAGGACTCTTTCTCAACTTAAAATAAATTCTCTATACTTTAGTAGTCAAAAAGCAAGAAATCTTAATTACATACGGTGTTCGTGTGCCTCTCTGATACTCATTTCCATGCCTGTAACTGCTAGGACCGTAGTCCTACCTTACGTTACTACATCTTTTCCTGGCTGTAAGCATTTCTTGATTCCATCTGTTAACTTACTAAAGTGCCACAGTAAGCACTGGATTTCTTTTACCTTTATCTTCCTTCCCTCAGAATTAAAGCGCTTAGTGAAAACAGAAGCAAACACCATTTTTCTGATTTTGGTAACTAAATCAGCTGTTTAATTGAAAATAACATTAACTCTTAACAGTAAAGGAGGCAGTATCAGGAAGGGATCTTCTTGTTCTTTAGTTTATCCTCTAAGTTTGAAAAATATTTCATTTTGGCTAGAAGCTTCTTAGCTTCTTGAAGATCATCTGAAATGAAATAAAACATTATTAGTTTATAGAGGGCTGGCTGAATTTTCATTTTCAAAATGAATCTCAAAATTTCAATTACAGCACCTGTTCCAGTACTGAGAGCTGCAAGTTGTAAGGACCCATACACAAATAAAACCCTGTTGCCTATTATTTTAAACTCAGATGGTTTTGGAACACCTCAACTGTAAAAATGTACAATTTAGAAAAGAAACGTGACATGAATATCCTTCAATGACTTTTCTGTAAAGTGGCTGTAGTATTGATGTAGCCACTGGGGAATTTTAAGCATATAGACAAGACAAACTTTTTTTTTTAATGTATGTAATTAGGCCAACTGCCATCACTGAAAAATGCAGAAGATTTGTAGGACACTGGTATGGATAGTGTCAATTCCAAAACTGAAACAACTGGACAGGAAAGGTGGTTTATCACCTACTGACAAGGATAGATGCAACACAATCCTTAACTCTCATAGTACAAAGAGTGACAGATTATAAGGTTATAATTTTTCATATGCAGGCCTAGCCAGCACTACTTTGCGTTTGATGTTTTACAATTACAATGCACTACTACAGAAACCTCACAACAAAAGCATTGCAAGACCCAGGAGAGAAACGTAAAGGTTTCTCCCCAGAGGAAGGAAGCTAGTCTGGAATGGTTCAAGCTCCTGCCTATCAATTGGTTGTGGAATAAAGTTATGTTAATTATTGCACAGGAAGTCCCTAAAACCTTAGGCTAAATGCGGCATCAGGTCTTTTCTTGCCATACAGCTTCAGTGGTAAGCAGCTGAATCGTCCCTGTCTTGACTTGCACTGCAAAGAACAGCGCCCATCACTCTGTTGACAGCTTCAAGACTGCAGAGAAAGATCTCCCAAATTCAAATTTGAAATGTCAGAATAGGTAGTAAGTTTGATGAAGAAAAGAGTCTGTTCGTCCCAGCATTCTGGGAAACAAACAAATTAAAAATTTCTTAGCGTCTGCATTCCCACTTGAAGTGATCATTTTGATGCAAATTGAATTAACTGGAACTTCTTTATGGATTTTTTTTTTTTTATTTAATGTAAGGCCCTGAATTTCCTGAATCAGCAGAAAGTTCAGCTCAGAACTATTTATTCTAAATACCAAACAAAGAAAACTACTTGATGCAGTATTTCTGTTCTGTACTTCAGGAAATACTTGCCAGTAAGAGAACGTGATTTTTTTAAGCATTTATAACTGGTATGTATGGCAGCTAAATACTTAATATAAATAGCTACCTCTTTCAAAAGCTGCAGTCACCTCTTTGGTCAGTTCTTCTTGTTTAACTGCAAAATAAATTATTTAATTCACTTTTTGTTACATACTTGGTATATTTAATACCACTGTGTTCTGATTGTGGTGGTAAACTTAATTACTAGTCTCACAGTCTTTTGGGAGCTAAGAGAGCTGTTTGTCATATTGCTGTCAATTTTTTTTTTAAACTGTAATTTCAAACATATATTTCTTTGTTTAAACAGGTTGACAGACAGCAATTCCAATGCAATTCAATGGTCACTAACTTCCCAGAAATCTACCTTACTTTTGGTGTATCAGTTTACCCTGCTACAGTTAATTTTCTTATTCTTAGTTTTTATTCTAGTTACTCTAATTGCTTTTGGCACACTACTGTTACTGCAAAGAATTAAATATACCAATGAACTCAATGTTTTGGGTATCACCAACAACATAAACAAGAAAGTTGCTTGTATAAGGATAATAATCACTTAATATAATGGTTGCTAAGTTGAAGAAGGTGAAAGAAATACAATGTCCATATCAATGAAATTACTTAAGTGGTCAGTCAAGCATTTTATTAAACTTCACTTTGAGTGGTTCTTTCTTTTAGGACGGTCCACTTGCCCTGATCTGCTGAAGGTTCAATAAGTGCCTGTTTATAGTCAATATATATACACACCTATTTTGCCATCAGAAGAGGTACTGTTATAAGACATTCTCAAGCCAGATTTGAAGTTTAGGTGGCATGAATTGGTGAAGACAACATTTTTTGGGGGGGGGAAGCTCTTGCGGTGAGTCAACTCAAGACTAATACAGGTTAGAGATACTAAGAGAAATACATTGAAAAAGTTAACTCTTCAGAAAGGCTCTCACATTACACAAGGTACAGTAAATTAGTTCTGTACAAACCCCTCAAATCATAACCTACCTTTAATTAAAGTTTCAATTTCTTCAAGGATATCCTCATTTTTAGGTTCTGCTAATTTCTCATTAATTTCCATGATTTCCATGAGAAACACTGAGTCTGCATCACAGTCTGTCTCTTGTGCCGGCTCTACACCATTCAGCTCCAGCTGGTGAAGAAAACAGGAATTTGGAAATGCGCATTCTGGCATCTATTTCAATGTGAATTATTTTCTTGAATATTAAGTCTTCTACTAGGGCTCACTCAGATTCGTATCTGGTAAAGTTCTGGTTTCTTCCATGAAATGTGCATAAACAGAGTCAGTTTTAAAATTAACTCCATAGGTAGACCATAAAAATCAGCAGTTAACCAAAGCAAAAAAATGTAACAAAGGCTGCCAAGGGCCAGACTGAAATGTCAAAGAACAGCCATGGCCAAACTCCATGTGTGACGCAGGAAACAAATTAGTGTAACATGAGCATCAAATGAGATGGTAATAATAATCAGTAAAATGTTAAAGAAAATAGTGGAAAAGCTGATGCGTTTTCAGACAAGCTTGGTCTTGGTCTCCCTTCAGTCCCTGGTAATCCTCTTCTTCAGAGGAACACAAATTAGCACGTTAATGATGGAGTCAAAGGTCTGACTGATTGCGTTACCACCAGCAGCCCCAGCCACCTACGGTGAGTGACAGCAGTATTGATGAAATACGTAGCGGACACCTTACCAGATAGAGGCCACGGCTCAAAGGGTTCAGGAGGGTTTGGTAGGCCTTATTAATCAAGGAGGAGTGTTGCTGAGAGTAGTGCTGTTCTTTCTGCGAATGGACCACAAATAACAGCAACAAGTTAACGACAGGTAGCAAAATCCATTACGCTTTGTTACCTGCAGAGAAATAGCGTTCCCACAACAATACAGGCGTGTAAAACGGAAAGCTGATTTTCAACAGAGAGGGGAAGAGCAGGGAGAGGGGCTACCCGCACTGCCGGACTCTGCCGTCTCACGCAGCGAGGTTCTCGAGACCCACCGCAGCAGCCCCGTACTGTCACCCTCCGCCGCAGGTCCGTGCGCAGCGGGCTCTTCCGAGCACCAGGACACAAACACCGGCGAGCCCCTGTAATCCCAAGAGAGGAGGGCGAGGGGGGACCCGGCGCGCCGCTTCGCAGGGCCGCCGCCGCCGCCAAGGGCGGCACGGCCGTAACGCGAACGGCGGCCTCCTCCCGCCCGGAGCCCTGCCGCCCCGCCGGCCGCGGCGGGGGAGGCGGCGAGGCCCGGTCCACCCCGCCCGGGAAACCGCGCAAGCCGCGCCGGGGGCAGAGCTGGCGCCCCCGCCCCGGCGCTCACCGGCGGCCTCCGGCCGAAGCGATCGGGGTGAAGAGCGCGCTGCAGGCTCCGGAACCGCCGCTGCAGCTGCTGCGCGTCGACGCGGAAGGAGCGCTCGCTGCGGGCGACAGAAGAGCGGCGTAAGGCCCGCGGCCGGCCGAGCCCGCGGCCGCCCCGCCGGTACTCACCAGTCCATCAGGCGGAAGAGGTCAGGCCGAGGCCCCGGCGGCTGCAGCGCCCGGCAGCCGGGGCAAAAGTGAGGCAGCCCCTCGGCGCCGGGGAGGCGGCTGCCGCAGCTCCAGCACCGCGGGGCCGGGGCGGAGCCCGGCCCGAGGCAGCGAGGCCGCGGGGCCCCCTCGGGAACGCGGAGCGCCCACCGCGCGCCGCCGAAACGCCGCCGCAGCGCCGCCTGCATCCTGCCGGACTACAGCTCCCAGCAACCCCCCGCGCGGCAGGCCGGGCCCCGATTGGCTCAGTTCGTAGCGAGGAGTGGCGGGGCGCGTGCGCGCCGAGCAACGCGGCACCGGCTCCGCGCGGCGAGCGGCGCGGGCTCCACCACCCGTGAGTTCGGACCCCTCCCCTCCGGCTGCCGGGCCCGGCCCGGCGCTCAGG